CACAGAGGCCTGCGGGACACATTCTAACTAGCAGCACACTGTACAGGCAGTTAGCTTCTGTCTCATTGTTTTAGGGCAGGGACTGAGTGACCAAGGCCGGGGGGATATGTATTCTTTTCAGGGTACAAATACTCAATTGACCATTGTTTAGAAGCCAGCGGTTGTCCAGTTTCAAAACCTACAAAAATAAACAACATTTGAATTAATTATTGATAAATTGCTGATATGAGTGTCATTTTCAGATTTATTCTTTTTTTTTCTCATGTCATAAACAATTCTAGGATTAATTCTTGATTAAAAGGAAATGCTGAATATACGTGAGATGACTGTTCATAGTTCTAAGGAGCTTACTGACACAGAAAGTTGTATACACAATAATTTTCAGTCACATTTTTGCATCAGGATGCTGCTCTTTCTGCAAAGATGGATGTGTCTATCTTAGCAACACGTCGTTTTGTTGACCATGAGTAAAATGAAAATGAAAAATGTAAACATTATAAGTTGGACATTTCAGGTAAGGCTCATTGAGTTGGTACATTTAAAAAACAGCCAGCATATATTACCCTTTATGTTGACAGAGCAGCAGGACGACAACCTCTAATCAGATCTGAGTAATGTATTGTCACCATGGATGAGTGTGAATAATTGACTGGTTAGTTTCTCTCTGTTGTTGCTCACATTGTCAGTGTTGGTTACATTTGTTGAATTATAAATTATGCTAGCATGAGAGTTGGCCATGCATTAAATAGCATGTTCATAGAAAAGAATAATTTATGCTTCACATTATATTTGATTTGAATAAATGGCATTAAACTATTATTTTTCAGCTCATCATTGGTAACTATAGTTTTTCATAAACCCCTGTTAATACAGTTATATTAAGGTTATATAAACTGCCTGTCTTAAGTACAATGGTAAACTGCCAGCCTGACAATTAGAAGGGAAGGTTGTGGCCTAACTAAGGATGGTGTAAGAGGACCTGTTGTGAAGTATTTTATGCTCAAAATGATTATCTTTATTTGGACTTAAGACGATTCAAGTCAATATAATCTATTTAGCCCCAGTAATAAGATGAGATATGCAATTATATGTTGTAATAATAGTTGTTGGACTAGTTAAAGTTGCCAAACACTGATAGAGAAAGTTATCAGTGGGATTAACACATGCATAATCAATTCTACAATCTCTCTGTAAAAGACTGCTGAGTCAATATTTCAGTCTGTGCAGTGTGTGCTCTTAGGTAGTGATGACTGATGATTAAAGATATTACCTTACATAAGGACACATTGTTCTGTGTTGAATTAACCATATTGTACACTTGTCCAGTAGTTATGAAACAAACACTGTCACGGTAATAGGGCCTCAAGAAGACTATGGATGAAGACACCTTTGCAGCCTGGGACAACAATCACAAATGATACAACTGATGCTGGTTAATAAGCACAGCAGAGCCGTAGGCCTTGAATAGTCTCATAACCATAGTCACTGCATGTTGTGACATAACTGAAATGATCTACCAATATTTCCCAATGTCCCACAGGACTTAGTGAGATAGACGTTGGCAGGATAAATACAGTAGCCCGGCTGAGGTATGAAACCAAATATGCTCCAAAAAGCATCAACACAGATTCATACATGCACGGGCATGCATGTACTAACAAGATACAGAGTGTGATGTGAAGATATGGCAAAACAGAAGACACCAGTGAGTATGAAAATTAACCCAGAGCACTGTTCCTCCAGTCCCCTGAAACGTGCAGCCCTCTGAAGTAAAAGTGGAAATGTTTTTTGTAGGGAGCACAGGAAACCCTCTTGACAGTTATATAAGCAAAGGGCCCTGAGCCTAACCGTCTCCACTGCTACACACAAATACACTCACTCTGCATAAGCATGGAGGCGCATGCTTATGCAGTACAACAACAACACCAACAACAGACATGCACACACCTGACAGGCAGAAACCCTTCTTTGGGAAAACACAGCCCAGGGACAGTCTGACACAACCACCTGCTCAGATTCAGTCGGCGACGCTGCTATTTATCAGAGACGCCGTATTCTTAAAAAACAGCATTAGCTCGTGGCTGCAGAGAGTCACAGTGGATATGTGCCTGTGCCTAGAGGCCGGGAACAATGTTGAATGAACACTGATAAAAAAGATTCTAGCTGGCCTGGTGTGGATTGTACATACATGCAGTTATTTTAAGACCCATTGTCATGGTTTGTTTCAGGAGGATTTAAAATAGACCTAGGGTGAAAAGTATGCCACACATTCAGTGTGCTTGACAGAGATATCACTCACATGTGCTTTTCTTTTCTTACCAAAGATTGCTGTTCTCAATGCAATGACTCATACATCTTGACAGATGAATACTGAATCCATAAGGAGAGCATGTGCAGTGTGTATACGTGGTGAAAAGTGTCTATGATATGAGCTGAGGGCGAGCAGACACATTTCAGTTTGTGCATTTAAATAAACATATGAGAACTGGTGCTCCAAATAAGTAGTTACTCAACCCAAATGTTTCCCTTTTATCACTGCCCTTCTATTAGGCCAAATGGCCACTGCCTGCTGACTCATGCGTTAATAATAAATAGATAGCATTGCGTAATATGATTATGACCACACAGACCTAGGTTTGCCCAAACTTAATCATATAAGATGTCTGTGGAAACTCTTAATCTGCACGAAGCCCTTGATAAGATGTTCCCCCTCTTCTGACAAGTTGACAGCAGAGCTTCGGGCACAGCATTAGTAAGACTCAGGAGACTGTCCCCTCATCTGCATAAGAGTTATCAAAGACTGGTATTACTGATTTTTAGAGAGGAGAGGAGAGGAGAGGGGAGGAGAGGACAGGAGAGGAGAGGAGATGGGAGGAGAGGAGAGGAGATGGGAGGAGATGGGAGGAGAGGAGACAGACAGGAGATGAGAGGAAAGGAGAGGAGAGGAGAGGAGAGGAGAGAGGAGACAGACAGAGAGGAGAGGAAAGGAGAGGAGAGGAGAGGAGAGGAGAGGAAGGAGGAGAGGAGAGGAGAGGAGAGGAGAGGAGAGGAGAGGAGAGGAGAGGAGACAGAGAGGAGAGGAGAGGAGAGGGCAGTGACTGGGGGAGAAATCCATTTAAATGAAAGGGAGAAGAGAGGCGTCAGCATTAGCAGCTAATCCACTGCAGTGAGAATGCTTTCTCTCTGCCCGAGGCCTCTAGGCTCCAGTAGTCATTCTATCAGGAAGACTGTAACACACACTGCACTGTATTTCTAACAGCAGATCCCATCCTGACATGAGATCCATACCACAAAAACATTGCGTGATTTACCAGAAATAAACCCGAAAAAAAAACAGATTAAAATGTCATACTTCTCTTTCTATGTAATGTCAAAACAGCTGTGTTACAATGTGTGCATTAATAGTATATAAATACATGTGTTTGTGTGCTAACTCCATGCTGAAAATGCAGCTATTAATCTTAGCATTTGATTCTGCTGCAGATGAACTACGACTGAAAGTCACACAAGCACATGCAAGACATTTCCAGCGCTGTGAGTCCACGTTCCCTACCCCAGGGGAGGGCCATGACACAAAAGTGCACATACAAAGGGAGCATCTCTCTTCCCCTCTCTGTTTCTCTCCCACCCCTTTTCTCTCTCTCACCCACACACTTTCTCTATTTAGCTCACACTTAAAAAGGCTGCCTAAAGATAGAAGCAAGAAGATGAACAGGAGCCAGCGAGTGTCATGGCAACAACGTGCGGCGGCTCACAAACACTATTTAGACCAGCAAGAAGAAGTTATAATAAAAGCCTTTGGGCAGTTGTATCACCCCTTTAAAGACACAGTTTACTAAATTTCAGTGCAGTGACGTGCCGGTACAGAAAGCTGGAGGCTCACAATTCCACAGTTGAATAGGCAGCCTCTCGTGAAAATGGACTGCATATTGTACCAGAAATGTTGTAGTAAATTCTCAGGGACTCCATGCTAATAGTCTGAATATGTTTTGCTAAAGAAAATGTTACCCCTGTCAACATAGCTACACAGCGCTGTGCACACTCACACATTCTCAAATGGTATTAAATACTTCTCTCATTATTCTCTCCCACTGGTGATTAACATTCATTTAAAAATAAGAATCTGTGAAACATCATGCATGATGACCCACACTCAATGAAAGCTTGTGTGCTAAACGTTGCAGGTTATTCTGGCCAGGCTCGATTGAAGTTATAATAATCAAATCATCATGCATTCAGTGTTCATCCCTGTGCATTTACGCACAGTTCTGTAGGTGTGTAGATGCTGGACTCGGCCGCAGAAATGTTCAATTCCTTGTCAGGATGTTTCAGAGAAACTCTGCATCTCCTTTCACAAAATCCCCCTGAGGCCACTTGCACATCAAAGCGCCGATTCTGCAATGCCTAGTTTCTCTTGCTGCGTAGTATAACTCTATCGTATTCTGAAGCTTATTTTACACAGCTGACAAAGGCACATTATACATATAGGTGTACTGTTGTTCCTCTTTCTGCTGTAAAATACAGGCTTTGTCTGAACGTGTGCTCTTCAGATTATTATTATTTTTTAAATGTTAGGAGCTCAATTCAAGATGACTAATGGCCTGAGAGGAGTGGATGACATTAGGACACGTGGCCACCATCCTCATGGCTCTTTGTCACCTGATGAGACAGTGACCAGTGCTGTGTAATCTCCACATTATCAGTATTAGTAAAGGCTTATTCTACTACTCTATTATACATCCAATTATCTCATGTCATATACAGAAAGCATCAGCATGATGGATGTGTCTGTGTGAGAATGTTTTAATAAGCTCCTATGAATTATATAGAGGTAACAGGGTTTATCTTTCTATAAAAATCTGAACATATTGTGATATTGATATGCCAAACTGAAGGCCTTGAAATAGAGCCTGACAGAAGGAGTAAGAGTAAAATAAATGATTGAATCACTTTGTGTTAATGTGTGTGTGTGTGTTTATGAGGATATATGTTGGACTCACAATGTTGACCTGCAGTGGTTCTGAACCAGGTCTCAACAGCCTCCTCCTCCTGCAGCTACCAGAGCCTCCCGACCGCAGACGCACAGACGACGACGACTGACCAATGACTGGGGGGCACACACATGCAGACAGATGGGCAAACGTCAGATCAATTTAATAAACACAAGTTAATCAACAGTCTGCATAATAATTTAGAAAATATGCAAAAAGGTACCTGACTGGGGCAGAAGCAACGCCAGGGCTGTGAGAGTGCTTGGTGGCAGCGGCAGGGAGCGGCACCGCTGGAGAGATGCCCTGAGTGGGGGCTCTAACGGTGACACACCCGGGGGGCGAGCCAAAGCCTATAGGGTACTGGATAGTTAGGGCATCTCCTATATTCCATACAGAGTTACTTTGATGCACACACACACACAAAAAAATGAAATTCACACATTCCCCTGTCCTTCGCTTTAACAAAAAAAAAAAAATCCTTTACTGCCCTGTCCCCCTTTCTTGCTGTGAATTAAACTATTTCACATTCAGCAAGTCTATTCTGGTGCAGTGGTCAGTGTGCATGCCCCGCAGCAAACCATGAGAGACTATACATCATGCCAACCGGGCGGTCTCTCAGGTTAAAATGAACTGACTCTGAGTTCGGGCAATGAGAAGTAGAGCTTATGGAAGCAATGAGGCAGAAAATTGGCCACAGAGAAAGGCTGGGAGTGAGGGAGAGAGAAAGAGAAGCCACAAAGAAAGAAAGAGAAAGACAGAGAGTGAAATGGAGAAAAAGAGAAAGAGAAGGAGAGAGAGAGGGGGAGGTGAGCTGAGGGAAAAGCAGTATCCAGAAATACAGGCCTCTATAAATGGGGCAGAGCATGCATGCATTGTTGCAGCTAACAGTGAATGTTGTATAAATACTGGGTGAGCACCGGACTGCCCGCCAAAGCCTGCGGTTTGGTGTTTGATTCATTATGGGCTCAGGCTGTATTTATCAGTGAGTTTGTGAATACTACTGGCAAGATTCAGCATTATAATTTGACATATTTATGTCAGTTGACACACACAGTTTTTATTTGCTCAGAATATTTTGATATTTATGTGACTCTCATGCCTGTGTTAGTCATTACACATCTTACTCTGTGGTGCAGCTCCATGGACTGCATCTCTCTTGTAACACTGGTCTCTATGACAGAGCAAGGCCTGGGGCGAGCCACCGTCCTTCTCTGCCCTGGAGAGTGTTGCATTGTGGTAGCGGGCCTGCGTCTCCGCCGGCATAGCGATCCAACCTCACTGTAATGGCTGTAGAGTTCTCGGTCGGGGTTGGGCCTCCAGAGGTCCAGTACGGCTGAGGCCGGGCGGGGACGAGGGCGCAGAGGCCTTTGAGGTACAGAGGTCTTCTCTGTGCTAGAGTGGGACCCTGCTGGGCACGGCTGTCTCACACTGGAGCCTGTCTTGCTGGCAATCTGCTCACACAGCTGTGATTGGCACAGATACTCAGCAGTTTGGCCCACATAAAAGTGCAACAATGCATTTCTTGTGTTGGGAATTGGGAGGAATGTCTCTATAGACTCAACAAATACACACCAAAATGCTTTTAAAGAGACTGCCAAGAGCTCCTGCTCCAAATTGCAATGCATCAGTGATTAGACCCAAGATTCAAGACTGCCCCCTTAATGGCAGTTAAATTTAAGAGAAGCAAAACAATAAACAGGTAGATTTAATGTGTAAACAGTTGGTGATGTGGGAGAAGGGTTTTCCTAGAATCATCCCATCTGTTAAGTTATTATAGGACTGCACTTTTAACACCGTTCCCACAACACAGATTTCTACAGCTCATGCCCTTGCATAATAAACCCCCATGAAAACTGTGCTGAGTATTGAGATGTCACATCTCATTTTGTCATTAGGGGTTTGGGCTAACATGTCCTGACTCTTTGGTGTGACTAGAAGGGAGATGACTAATGTTTCCACTGGAGTGAGGAGGGAAGGGTGCTGTCATGAAGTGCAGACGTCACAGAGCTCTGGGGCTGCTGAAGCCACACACAGTCAGCTTTTATGGGAAGTAGTGTTTCCTAGTATGATACACAAGGCCGGCTAGCAGGAAAGGACTAACTCCTCTAAGTGTATTGTTATACAGCCCTGTAGCTGCTGACTGTTTCCTCTTCTCTCCAACAGATGGGGCAAAAGGACAACTGTAGAATAGGTGCCCAAATTCATGTCCTCACAGGCTGGTTGGCGTCTTGAATGTTTTTGTTTCTGCCTGACAGTTAACGAACCACACCTAGGGCTCATATAATGAGGAAATAAGGAAACGCTCTCGGTACCATTTACACTCTGGTTGATAGTTGATGGTTTTAAGAAGCAAAAGCATGACCATGGTTAAAACTGTTACATAAATGAAGTTTGGAGCGTTTATGCAGTAATTACATGATGCATGCCTTTGGCAATGTTAATGATGTGGAAAAAAGCCTGCAATGGAATGTAGTTATGGCATTAATGTGGGACACATTATACATAAAAAAAGTTATCTCAAAATATAATTCACTAGCTGGTTTTGATCGTAGCTTATTTTGTATTTAAAGTCACATACCTTAAATATTTCCTCTGTGGAATCTGATGCAGGTATGCTATTGGTTGTGCTCTCTTTATCACCTTGTTGTGATTGGACGTTCACTTCCTGTCTCTGGTGGGAGCCAGGTGGAGCATCCCTGGAATCTTGCTCATTTCCTGGCTGTCTCTCTACCTTTTCCTCCTTACAGACACCGTTTAATGTTGCACTTTCAACCTCTGCTTCTTCTTTAGTCTCTGTGTTTGGACCTGATTGGGAGATATGATTCTCTACTATCGTTGTGGCTGTATAATTTGTGTCACTGTCTGTATGTTTGTCTGTGCACTCAGAACTCTTAAGGCCATTGACAGCTCGTGATCCTGGACCTGCCCTAAAGGCTCTCAAGACCACCTTAGGGGATCCTTCCCCTGCCACAGGTGCTGGAGCCTCCTTGTCCCAGCTACTGGAGTGTGAGGATTTAGCGGTCACTGGTGATGATGGAATAGGCTGGCATTTTGGAAGTCCTTCACTGTGTAGTGTCAGGGACACACTATGAATATTTTCCACTGTGCGTTGTGTGGCCCGAGGGGAGCTCATCTGACTACTTTCTCCCTCTGGAGGAGAAAAGGAGTGTGACGTTGTCCGCCATTTTCTGGCTGTCTCTGCTACACTGTTAAAAAACTTGAACAGACCCCCAAAGTGTCCCTTAGTGTCAGAGTGTTTTGCGCGTGGAGGTTGGAAGTCTCTGACACTCTCAAAGTCCACAGAACCATAGTCTGAGTCCAAGGTTTTATCCAAAGATGGAAGCTCAGAGTCAAAACTCCTCTCTGAGTAGACGGGATTGGTCTTCCCTAAAAGGGAAATCCTCCTCAGGTAACTCCACACATCCTTGTTCCTCCTTCCTCTGCCCTGCCGGGTGCTTGGGCTACATTGAGCACTAGGTTCTTCACATACTGCAGCTATTTTGTTACAGTTTGTTGAATTGTTGAGGCTTCTTTTGGTATAGCAAACCCGTTCTGATGGTTTACAACCATTCTGAGTCACAGCCTCTCCCACTACAGTGGGTTGGTGGCTGTCTAATGGAGTGAGATCAAGGTCTTCAAACGAGCAGTCAAATTCTGCTGTGTAGCCGGCATAAGAGTGTCTCTTGCCACGGTGTTTCAGGGTGCCCCTGCTGGACTGCTGAGGGGTGCCAAAGTCTCGGCAGAAAGATTCCTCATCCACCAAGGAGCTGCCAAACTTGGAAGTGGACAGTTTCCCTGTCTTTCCTCTAAACACAGAGGGAGATTTAAGCTTCTTGAAGGACCGAACTTTGTCAGCAAACGAGAGTTTAGGGAGGGAAGCCTCCCCAGGCAGGATCATGGAGTGGGGTCTTCGCTCCAGCTCTGAGACAGCTCTTTTTCGGTTCAAGATCTTCCAGATGCCCCCTGTGGCACGGGGCCTCCGGTTGACCTCCTGTCTTTCCTTGACAGGGGTCTGAGAAGAGGCAGCTTGGGTCTCTCCCTGCCCCTCTTCAGGCCCTTGCCCAGTCTCCTGAATATAAACACTGCTGGTCTTATTCTCCACATCCAGAGAAACATTAAACACTCGGTTGACAAACCCATTAGGGTTGTTGCTCTCAAGGGCAGGGTTGTCTGTCTGCTCCATCCTCTCTCATTCTACAGTGTCAGCTATCAGCTCCAATGGACATCATGTCTCCAGCTCTTCTCTCTTAAATACCTGGAGGAACAAAACCACATTTCAGAAGTTTAACATTAAACTGGCTGCCTTATCTTTTCATGTCATGTTTATTCTGTCTTTAACCTGCTTGGCCTGTCTGTAAATATAGTCCATGAATATCAAAACACATCATGTCAAACATTCTGAAGAGACGGTCAGATTGATTATCTCTACACATGGGCTCAAATAAATACAAAAGAAGAGATTATTTATGTCACTTAAACAAAATAAAATCCTAAAGGTGTTGGATATATTTGGATGATTCTCAAACTAGGGCTTTTCATAGCAGAGTCAACAGTCACTTGACGCCCCCTCCCCCTCCCCCCATATTTGGTCCACATTATCCAAAGTAATTATTTGAGACACAGTCCCTCATCCACCATTTAAACCAGGAGGCTGTGTTACCATGGAAACACTCACTACAGGAGATGTCAGGTTATTTCAGGCCCGTGACATCATCATCACAGCTCCCGATAAACGTCTTAGGAAGAGGATGCTCGACAAGTGCTCCACTACAAGCCTACATGTTAATTACCTCCTTAATATAATCCCTTTAATATATGGAAACCCTGTGTTTTAATTGGGGCCTCCGGCACACATCTTTGTTGTTACATGAGGTCACCACCGAAGATGTGTTACAATTAAACTGGCCGTGCCAATCTGATTTGCAAGCTTTTTATAGATTAGCTTTAAGATGCTATATAAAGACAATTAAAACAGGCAACTCTGTCACTCTCATTATTTAAGGAACTCATGTGGAACAAAAAGTATTTAAAAAAACTATATGATACCCTACTTTAAACTAGCAGGTAGGCTACTTATTTTAACATTTAGGCTAAAGGTAGAATTTCATGTAGCCTATTTTTTTACTCATTTTATTCTTATCTAGGAGTTCTGACAAGCTAATGTCATTTTTAATCTGTAAAGTAAATAAAGTTCACACTAACAAACATTGAAAACTGTTCTTTTAGTTTCATATATTTGCTTCAAACCTTCAGGTTGTCATCTTGTGTAGCTCTCCAGGTATCTACTGTCCATTAAAGCTAACAGAGAGTAGGCTATAGGCTACTCTGTTGGGCTGGTGTCAGAAAGTTGTGTCAATTGTTAAAGGCTAAATATGGCGTCATTAATGTGACATTAATGTTACAGCTGTTTCATTCACCACATTTCTTTGCGAGCTTACCTGGTTGACATTAACTTAAACAGAAATATCCGTCCATAAATAGTGTAGGCTACTCCTATTATTAACAGAATACACTTTCATATGAAGTTATACCCGCGAAAAATAAATATTATTTTCATTAAAGCTGTTGAGGCTAACTTAACTTACCTCTAGAAGACTTTCCCCGTTTCCAAAGACATCGTCGTTTCTGTCCTTTTAAGTCAATAAAAAAAACTCCGCGTTCACCACCGCCTGGACTTATCCACTGGACTTCACGGGCTTAACTTTGTATCCATGAGCAAGGCTGAGTTGAAGACAGCGACTTCCTTGACCACCTCGTTGTGTTTGGTGGGTTTTTTTGCCTCTAAACTTCGTCAGCTATCATCAAACTGAGAGAAACTCCCCGAGTTAGCGACATACCGGTGAACTCTTGCCCTGCGAACTTCTGCAGACGCCGACACTCTGATTTGTGATAAAGCTCTCACGCAGACAGAGTAGCACACACACCAACACACCCTCTGCACACACACACACACACACACACACACACACACAGGACGCAGCCTACTACACACACGTAGCTACTTGAATAGACTCAAACTCATACATGTGATAAATATCAAGTTTAGATGGGTTTTCATTTTAAGCCAAAGGCTGAAGCTTAATTTATATTAAAGGGGTTTACTTGTTAGGCTACTTTTAATCCTGTTTTTATCCTTTGGCTCCTTCATATTCAAAACATATTTTTCCTATCCAATATAGCCATTTCTTGATGAATTAATCGTTTTTTTTATGAGTGCAATTTTAAGAGGCACTTGTGATTTCTAAGAGAACATCAGGGAAAATAAGTGATTGACTGAACTCTGGTCTCATAGCTGATCCTCCTTTGGGATTTGCGTTGAATGTGAAAATCCTTCCATTGAAATGACACAATGGGGAGAGGGAGCTCAGGGGGGGAAACTGGAGGAATTCACAAAAAAACTAAACAGCTCCAGAGCTCCATGGCCGTGAAAGAGGAGATGTGTGGAAGAACCGGGCCTAAATTTAAACATTTCCTCTTTGTCCTGTTTTGGTCCCATTGTCATCGCATGGCGTTTCTCCCTTCTGCACAGGAAGGAGTGGATCTGACATCAACGCTCTCAGGCTGACAATGCCAGGAAGTCTGTCTGACCGTATGTAAATATCTCTATGCATCCATGCTTCCCTTCGGTTGCCCGAGGAGCCGCTCTCCTCTGTGCGGCCCTCTCCCTGAGGTGGCTTCAAGCACTTGAGGGTGTAGTAGCAGTGGTAGCGACACGGTGATTTACATGCTACACTTCCTCCATAAGTCATCCGCAGCTGTCACTGCGATTTACAGCAACCTCATCTTCAAATGACCTTTCCTCTGATGAAGCATCTTTACAGCATTTACGGCTCTTCACCTAACAGCCCCTTTCATTTACATACATACAGGAAAATGTGTGTCTATTACAGATTTGTTTTTTGTACTGCTTTTTCTTGGTCATTCTGTCTTTTTTCTTCTTAGTTTTAAGTGTTTGTTGTTCTCCTTCACTCCGGTTCCCTTACTTCATCCCTCCCTCCCCCTGACTTACTCACTTCCTCACAACCCCAAGCAGTTTTCCTGTTGTCCCCCTCCCGTCACAAAAGACATCCTGGCTCAAACAGGCCAAATGCTTTAGCTCAGAATCGGCTTGTACTGACAAATAACTAAGCTTGTGTGAAAATAAATGCATCCTTAGAGTAGCCTATTTTGTATGGACTACAGAAAGCATGAGGGGGGGAAAAGAAAAGAAAGAAAGCGATGAATGGAGGCAGACAGAAGTTCATTTTTGTTGACGCTTGGCTGGCTGTGTACATTACAAGCCCGTTTACTTTGTTGTGCGTTTATCTCGAGTGTTGAGCACTCTTTGAAATGATGTCATTGGCCTCTCGTTTCCAGAACAATCGACCTCTTCCTCCTCTTCCTATGACACGGTCCCCGCTGGTTGGTTTGGTGGAGATTACAGGAGACAAACACTTGCTGCGTTTCGGGCCCAGCTGTAATTATTTCAGCAGTCTTTGTCAAAGCTGCTGAGTGAAAACAGGCTGCCGTGAAAAAAAGCTGGCCAGACAGGGAGGGCGAGGAGGAGGGGTGTTGTAGATATGTTGTGATATCAAATGAAAGGCTTACTAAAGCCTGGGAACAGGATTCAGGAGGTGTTGCTCATGTGAGTACAGCTGGGAGTTCAGACACATTTTGTTTTCAAGGCAGGTGTTTAGGATCTTTTTTGTATTTGTGTGATATTACTGTGTGTTTCCTTAGATGGACAGATTGCTGACATGTGCATATGACACTGGGAGCGTGGTTTGCACTATCCATACTTGTGATACATATACTGGCACACACATACACACACACACACACGCACACACACACACACACACACACACACACACACACACACACACACACACACACACACACACACACACACACACACACACACACACACACACACACACACACACACACACACACCCAGACAGATTAACACTCAGGCCCACTTTTGGTATAAAATATGCCCAGGTAGTGGTGCCTTCAGTGGTTGAGGAGAGTTTGAATTACACTGGCATTCCTGACATTCCCTCTGCACTGACCTGCATACTTCCCTGGCCTGGCTGCACATGGCACCAAAGACACACACACACACACACAGACACACACAAACCCATCCTAGCAGCTCGCAGACACTTTCATCTTAACTGCATTCACTTTGGGGATAATCAATCACTGTGGCTTCTCACACTCACAGACACACAACACAGATATGTACCAGCTCACATGGCACACACATGGACCCCGAACTGGAATGTTAATGTGCGGAAAGGTCGGACCGTTGTTGGTGATGGGAAGATCTCATAAACAGCTTGTGTTGCAGCCTTCTTAGACACAACGAGAAGCAGAGAGAGGGACACAGAGGGAAAGAAAGAATTAGATGGACCGGACAGGGGGAGTGAGTGTGTAAGCGTTTGTGTGTGTGTGTGTGTGTGTGTGTGTGTGTGTGTGTGTGTGTGTGTATTTGGAGTTTTCAACAGGGGACTTTCAGCCATTATCAGGATGAATCTGAAAACAGGAAGGGGGGTTCCATTAAACAAGACGAGCGGAAGACGACCACCGTTCTACTTCCTGTTTAAGAGCAAGGGAGGAAACAGCAGATTTTTTAGGAATTCAAATCAGAATCAACACTCCGGAAAGAACATCTTAGTATCCCATGGAAGACTCCTGTTTTGACAAAAATTTAAATCATTTTTTGGTTCACTTCTGTGTAGTTGCTGTCCGTCAAAAACATCGCATAGAGCAGTTCTCAGTTTTTCCTTTTTGAGCAAAAGCTGCTTTCAAAAGTCAAAAGTGTGATGAGGCAGATGTTTATCCCAGTTTTGTGTGTCTGTGTGACTCTTTATCTGGCTCTGTGTCTTGCTGCACAGGCCTTGGGCTGAACTGGACTTGGCTGTGTTTTTTGGGTCAGCAGCAGTGAGAGAAAAGCAGTCTGGCACATAAAAAGACATCATTTGTGCTCATCTGGCTACTTCAGGGAACAAAGTTTGTGATTGGGAAAACACAGGGGACAGAGTGATAAAGGGAGAGCTGGTATTCAGCGGAGGAGGGATATTTAACTGAGGGGAGAAAACCATGCAGATCTTCTTCACAATATGTCAGTGTTGTTGAGCAAAGGGAATGGTTGAGATTTAATGCAAAATATTACACAATTTAAGAAGACAATACGACTTCACACTCGTTTCATGATTAGTCACTGATAAAGTTTGTTTAGCACTCCCTGCTTTATCTCCTTGATGAATGCTTGTTGACCTCTGACCCCACCATTGTCTCTGGTCAGTGTCCTCTACATTAGCCAGGCTGCGAAAAGTCACAGCAGCCTGGACTGAACTAGAGATGGAGCAGTAACAGCATTATAAGACCTATCAACTATCACAGCATATAATCCCTTCCCCTTCCCCTCACTATCTCTCTGTCCTTGCTACAGCATCTTAAACATGTCCTAGTTAGAGGCGGAGGGATATGCATGCAGAGTGCGCATCCCTCTTCCAAATCCTTTTCTGCATGTCCTCATCTTGTAAATGTATATAACGCTTGTTTTATTAAATCATGAAAAATATCAATGTATGATTCACAACATTAGAATCAATATTTCTCCAAACTCCTCTATAGTCCTGGAGAGTTCTGATAAATGGTTAAAAAGAGTATCCTACAGTGAAATGACCAGATATCTAGGGCTGGGCGATATGACCTCAAGTCAACATCTCCATTAATTGAACATTTGACCTCGATTACGATTAATGAATTATTATTTCGTTTTTGTTTTTTTGCTCTCATAGTTCACTGACGAGGTCTCTACTGTAAATATACTCAACTATTAAAGCTGGGATATGTTTTCTAATGAAAGAGTTCATATCTGATGAACTATTTTGTGGTTATTTATTGAATATTTCGACTCTGCTCTGTAAATAATCGAAGTGGGCAAGATTACGTCGATTAGAGGTTCTGAATGTCGGTTTCGACTAGTTTTTTGATGAATTGCCCATCCATATAGATGTCTGAGTTAAGAAATGTGGCTATACAATATAAATCCTAATAGATGTTTAACCAAATTATCATGAGTGCTTTTGTTTTATCTTGTGGTATGGTAGCCATTTACTACACAACAAAAATCGTCTTTGCTGTTTTGTTAAAACAGCCAGTAAAATAATCTGCACACGGCAGTTTTCCTTGTCAGATATCTGGAACAGACAGAAGTGTGAGGAAAGCAAAGTGAAGCTCTGACAGACCTCTCTTGGAGGGATTTGTTCTTCTCTCCTCTGGTCGGAGGTCCAGGCTGCACAGGGCTAACACCAAGTATTTGTATGTATCTCATGCAATTAATGTTCTTAATGTTCTTTAAACCATGACTGCACTTTCAAGCAGCACTAGAGCACTTTATTGATATTGCTATGTGACATTTTTATTTTCCTTGGTTGTATTCCATCACCTTGTGTTGTGCTGTCCTATGTCTTTTTATCGGTTGTGTTTTTGTCCTCTGCTGTAAATCAAATTTCCCTTCCAGAGACGATAAAGGTCTGAACTGAACTGAAACAATTAAGAAGCATGGTCTCTTAACAAACCGCCTGCTGACATTCAATAGGGGGTTACTCTGCACATGATCATTCAGGAAACACTCCCTTTATAGATTATTTTAAATCATTAGTGTTCAAACAGTTCTAAAAGGGTTCAGCTGCAGGTCACATTTATTAATGTGTAAATATCCTGCCTCCAGATCATTAATGGGTGATTATGCACACAACAGACAAGTATAAGTAAACATCTGTTGGAGATAAATTCAAACTGTGGGGATAACATTTTAAAGAGTTACCAAATGATTTGAGATACATAAATCTATTATCAATGTTTGCTTGTGT